CGCGGCGGCAGTGAATGTCGTGCTGTATGATCGCTGCGCGGCACAATGGCGCTTGACGGCCTCCGATGACGATGTGACTGCAAAAGCAGCGGTGGCGGCATCACGTGATGCTGCCGCACGTTGCCTTCGAAGTCGCAACGCCAATAACCGGACATCGTGGTGTGATCCCCATTCTGCTGCTGTTGCCGTGTCTTCATCGCAATCTGAAAAAAAATAAACTGGAGACGGAGCGAGGTGTTGCGTTGTCTCCATTTCTTCCTGTTTTCCCGCATGTGTATGTGTGCTTGTGTGTGTGTTTACTTCCCGCCATTAACAACATCACGCAGGTGGTGTGTATGGGTTTTCGTACTTATTGCTTTCTTTTCTTCCTTTCTTTCTTGCTTTACCGAATTGCCGGGATAGACCGAACCCAAATATACAGAGGAGTCCGTGGGGCGGGGACGTTGCATGCAACCCACAAGGACTCGTAGATGACAAGCAGGCCATTGGAACCGCTGCAAGATGATGAACGGCTCATGTCGATTTCCCCTTTGAGTGATGTGAGCCGTTATGGGCAGCGGCCACCGCGCAGCACCTCTCCGGTAAGAACGGCGGCGGAGGTGCCACCACCCCGCTTTTGCTTAGAGAAGGCCACAGCCGGAATCCGGGTGCTAGGGCTTTTATCAACGGCCACGAGGTGGTCGTTTGGCATGATCTTGGACACAGACGGCGCGGAGAAGACCAAAAGTGAGAAGGAGCAGGAGATAAATTCTAGACACCCAGACGCACCCTCTTCTTCCTGCCCCTCCTTGCACGCTACCACCCTTTCGTGGAACACAGTGGCGTTGCTCGCAAAGCACGTTTATCTTATTGACGTTGTCTGGAGTCCGGCGAGTTATGCGAGTTTCTATCACTCACTTGCACCGCCGTCTGCCCTTTCTTTAGAGACATTTTTCCCCACGCCGCCCTCGTTAGCGTCTTTGTCGGCTATTACTGCATGGGAACGCCTGTTGTGTGCTGTGTTCTTCTCCACTTCTGTGGAACAGATGGTTCTTTTGCGGCACGCCCTCTCCTGGGAAGAGAAGTGTCGCTTTGAGGATGTGCTCGCTGTGGTGCGGCACTGCACGCGCCTCCTGGTGGATGGTTTTTTTCGATGGGTTCCCCCATCCACCGGGGTGCGTCTCTTGCTGAGCTGCCATGGCAACAGCAGTAGTGATATTCATTGGGGTGGTAGCGTTGGGGAAATTAAAGTGGGACTGTTGGACGTGGAGAATGTGGTGCTTGTGCAGCGTCACCTTGCCTCCTTGCGGCGGTGTTGGCTGTCGACAGACGGTGAGGAGGAAATGGGGGCGGGAGTTGCAGTCGGAGCGCACGTGGACAATCCCCGTGAGGATCTGCATCGTACGGTTAGGGCGTTTCAGCGACAAGGCTCCCATCTGAGGCGATGGGCCAAAGATAACCCTGGCGGTGCGTATGACGAAAGCAACAACAACAGTAACGGCAGTCCATGGAACCTCAGCAATACTCAGCGGCTCTTAAATGCGATGGCGGTTGTAGCGCATATTGAGTCGTACCTAGAGTCTGCAATGCCATCCTGTGACAGAAGCACTTTGTGCCGCCACGACGATTATGTTAATGGCAGTGGGTGTGGTATTGGTGGCGCATCCAGACTGCCATTCACGCCAGCGCAGCGAGATCACTTGATTGAGATGCTCGCCCTTCTTATGTATCCCTGCAAGGAAAACTTTTCTAGTGAGGGAAGGCGCATCGCTACTCACTGGTTGCGGGTAAATTTGGCGGCGGAAACAAACACCGCATTGTTCAATGGGCCATCGGGGTTGTTGTTCCATGACTTTCTTGCCTCCCTTGCACACTGGCTGGTCCTGCAGGTCGTACCGGCCCTGATGACGTTTGTGAGTGCAGCCTCCTGCAGCGGTTATGTGGATACCTCATCGCCACCGGATCGTGCACTTCGATTAGGGTTTCATTGCGCTGAGGAGTCCGTTGCAGACATGGCTGATGTGTTACGTGCACCAACCGTTACATCAAAATCATCATCATCAGCAGCAGCAGCGGATCTTGCGGCCCGACGCAACGTGTTGTTGGGGATCACAGTGTCGGATTGGTTGCGGTGGTTACGGCAGTATCACGCAAGGAATGGTAACGGTAATATAGATGGTGGTCGTGACACCACGTGTCGTTTGCAGTTCTTCTCATCACTCTCTTCAACAGGTGCGAAGCTGCTGGATGTTTTTGATTCTCTCGAGTTGTTTAGTCCCAATTCGACAAGAAGTCCAACAGGAAGTGGAATCTGGCCGGTGTTGTCTAACGGAGTGTTCGAGCGACATGGTGCGTGGGTGGTGGCTCACTGGGCTGTGGGCAGCAGCTACGCGGAGGTATCGTCAATCAATAGTGAATGCACCAGCAGAAAATCACAAACCGCAGTAGCAGCACGGGAGCCGCTGGAGATTTTTACGCTGGGAGAGTTTATTGCCCGCTACCGTTTTTCTGTGGACGCCACACGTGTGGCGACGCGTCTCACATACCATTTAAATCGGCGTCAAAATGTTTCAGAAGGGGACATGTGGCGTCCACTCCCGCCGCTGTTCCACATTTCCATTGAAAATTTTAACAGATTCATGCCGATAATTCAGGCGAAACTTATTTGTTCCGCTGCTATCGTGGACTACACATCTTATGTCTCTGCTAAAGAAGAAAAGGAAGAAGCAGCAGGGGTGTGGCAGAAGAATACAATCCGTCGTGTGGGTGTCGATTTGGTTAGAGACAATCCGGTATCGGCAAGAGAGGCACCGTCCGTCATCATCAGGGAAGACTCCGGTCTCATTAAGTTGTATGACTCGGGGGCGTTGGAGCAACTTGAAGAGGCCCGTTTACGCGGTTGGGCACAGTTGCATGAATGCGGTACACTTATTCTTCAGGCCTTTCTGCGTGCGTGCTGGTCGGTGCGATGGAACCTTGTGCCTCTGAGGCGCCGTGCTCATAGACAGGCGATTGTCCCCGTACAAGCAGCTCTGCGCGTACGTGGGGCCGCCCTGAGAGCAGGACGGCAGGCTCGGCGATTGCTGGAGCAGCGACAGCGCTGGTTAGAAGAGCGCCGACGTCACAATGTAATGCGGGAGCAACTCGTCAGTAGGATGGAGTTGCAGGCGGAGGGACGAGGAAACGGAACTGGCGATGGGGAAGATGGCATGAATCCTTTGAGGGCCACACCGAGAACGTCGACGAGTTGGCCGGCCAAGTCACTGAACGAGCTGATCGATGAACGGGCGAACTGTGTGCCTGACCCTGCGCTGGGTTTTGGCAACAGACTGGAAAGATGCGTCAAGGATGTTCAGGGCTGCCCGTCACAGGGAGAGACGAATGCGGAATCTGACGGCGACAACAGTTTTGACGCGGCGAGTGCGGTTTTTGCCATGGAACGAAAAGGGCGGGGCGTTGTGCAGCATGCAGAGGCAAGGATTCGCCGTCAGCTATTCATCTCGTTGGAAGAAAAATTGCGAGAGCGTTATCTTCTGCAGGAATACCGTGACCGCCGCGTCGTCGTGCAGCAGCAGATCAAAGAGCACCAAGAGGCAATTGTGAGGGAACAACGCCGCAATTGGAAGAAGAAGAATAAAAAGAGACAGATGATGGCACAGCAGCGACAACAACACTCCGTAAGGAGGGCAGCCAAAGAAGCACCGCATCGTGCCGTTTTTTCCTTCTCTCCGCCCTCTGTTGCCGCTGGAAACAAGTGCGGTGACATCCCTTTCCTGGAAGACGCTAAAACCAATGACGAGGGTGACACGAGCGATGTGGTCATAGTGATTGACATGCAGGGCGACGACGGGGACGAGGAAGAGAAGGTGGAGCTCCCCCGACAAGCCTCCCATGTCGTTGAAAATTGTCTTCCACAGGAAGTAAAAAAGGCGACAAAGTCTCGAAATTCACATGTGTGCGCATCGTTGCTTTCTCTGCGTTGCGGAGCTTCAGGGATTTCCAAGGCCTCGTGCCTCACCCCGCGGACGGCGCTCTGGAGGCAGGAGCATGAAGATCGTACCTTCATTGAAATCAGTCAAAGTTATCGCTGGCACCTGTTGCGGCAGAACTGCGCACTGGCAGAAATTGTGCTGGCGGAGATGTCGTACCGCCGTCTCATCTTCCTCGCTGGCGCCTTAGAGCGACAGGAGCTTCTGGTCCGCTGGCGTACGATCATCCTTCCATATTGCCTCATTACAGAGGCGCTGCGTGCTGACATTCTTGCGGCGTTGGTAATTTTGCAGGACGCCCCGCGGCGTCACGGATCGCCTGCGACGCGGATGGCGCCGGGAATTCGCGTCCGCCGCGTGAACACAACACCCGCCGTGGGGATTCGACCACAACAGCAACCGTGCCGTCGTACTGACGGGCTTAGTTCCTCTTGGCAGAAGAAGAAAAAGGAAGCGGTATTAGAAGTAGATGGCGAGAATGACATAAGCCGAAAGCGTTTTACCGAAAAAAAAGAAAATGCAGAGGCGCAACGCGAATTCCTCTGCAAGCCGAAGTTTCACCTGCTTGCAAGTCACTTTTCTAATCCATGTTTGTCAGGCAGGGTGAATGTGGCGACGGATCGCAGAGCACCAGCGCATTTCAAGAAGGAGAAGGGGCCTTCTGAGAGGAGACGAGTTGTCACGTGGGTTGACCCGCCAATTTCATCGCCACCGCCATCAGGATCTTTGAAATGAGGCTGGAGATGGTGGTCACCACATTACTTTCAACCATCTTTGTATATAACAGTGTGTAGGGGAGGAGGAGAGGAGAAGAGAGAGAAGGTTTAGATGCAATGAATAGAGAGAATCAATGGGCACGTTGGAATTTAAATGAGGACGGTGGCACAGGGCGAGGCGCTGTGAGAAATGTCACAACTCCCTCTTTTTTTTGTCTTTGTTTTTTGTTTTTCTTCCGTGTGTATTCTCTTGTGCGTGTCTTTCTTGGATGGGGCGAAAGGGAGGGAGGTGGGAGTGAATACATATAGTTTTAGGATGCTACGCGCGACCTGCAGGACTCTTGGCGGTCAGCGGCGCTGGTGGAAAGAGGGTCGCCCGGACTTTATGCGCGCAAATGAGCGGCGAATGCGTCTGGAGCGACGCCGCATCGATGCGAGTCGCTATTACGCCCCGGTGGAGCCCACACCGCAGCAGGCATGCACGCTCTACAGGCAGCTGCTGAAGGCCGGGCACGCCCAACTCCGCGTGACGGACAAGGCGTACTACGTCAGAAAGCTGCGTCGTGAGTTTGAAGTGACAGCGCGACAAACGAGTGCCAGGGTGCGGGGCATCATGTACGAGAAGGGTCAATGGATGCTGCTGAACAAATTGGGTGGTATTGTGTGAAACGGAATCGGTTGTTTGAAAATCTGAGAAAAAATTACTATTAATAATAATTGTAATAATTGTGGTGGTGGTGGATGTTCGACGTTTTTTCTCCTCCTGAATCCACTTTTTTTCTTTTTTTTTTTTTTTTTGGTTCAACCATTTCTTTGATTTTTCTCAATTATATATATTTACACACAAACAGAGGGGGAACAATGGTGGGGAAGACATACCTGCGTTACGTTGTCGGTCCACAGGGAGGTGCGGTTGCCAGCAATGCATCTCTGACTCTCTGCAGCGTCGTTGCGCCGTCCTCGTACGTGGATTTAGCAACGCACCACAGCAGCAATAGCGGCGGTAGGATCGGTCTTCGTCACAGGAGTCGGCAACACACCGCTGTGGCGAGTGCCGTTGTATTTGTTGCAAGTCTTGAGGCTGTGCGAGTATATTCCGTTCGCAGTGGAGCACTGCAGCACGCATTGATACCGGCCGAGGCAAAGATGCCTCTAGAGGTCACTGCCATTTGTGTGTTGTCGTTGGAATCATCAACGACAGGGCAAAGTTCTCTGGAACTGGATGGATGGATGCTGCTTGTTGGTTACCACAATGGTCATGTTGCCGTCTTCTCCTGTGGTCCGACAAACAACTACGGCCTACCTCTTTGCCGCTTCTATGCGCTCGGGCACAAGGTAGACACAACTGTCCTTGCCCTCGCTGCCGGCTCCCAGCGTGCGTATATGTGCAGCGGGGGTCAGGACACGGACCTTACCGTCTGGGACCTTGTGACGCAAGAGGCTTCCTTCCGCCTACGCGGTCATCGTGGGGGTATCGTGGGCATCGAGTTTGTCCCACAGAAGGAGGATCGATTTGTTGTAACGGGTGCTGCCGACGGACTTGTTAAGGTGTGGGATATCTTCCTCCGGCAGTGTGTGCAGACACTCGTTGCCTCCGATGCGCAGGTGTCGTCACTGCGGATGGACAGTGCTGGGCGACGTCTCTACTGTGGACTACGCGAGAGTCAGTTGAAGGTGTTTAACACAGAGGCCCTGCTGAAGGCAGATGACATGCACGGAGATGACGCAGGGACGACGATGACGATGATAGCGTTGGCTGTGGAGCACGGCGGCATCCAGCGCAAACTGCAGAAGCCTGTGACGTCCATGTCTTTTTCACACGATGGTGCGTTCTTGTTGGCGACCACGAGCAAGACAGTGGAGATATTCCGCATTCTGACACGAGAAGAGGTGCGTAAAAAGGTTTCTCGCAAGCGGAAGCGGTGTGCGGCGAAGAAAGACGGTGGGGAGGGAACCCATGCTGACTATGACAACGAGGAAGAAGAGGTGGAAGTGGGGGTGAAGAACAGCAGGCGGGAGCCGAATAAAGTTCCGGAGGAAATAACAAATGGGACCGGCCCCAATCCAGGCAGCGCCAGCGGGGCTCCCGCCGCGGCATCCGCAACGGAGGAAGTTGTCCTCCTCCGTACCTTCTTTCTGGACCAAAAGGTACGCAGCGCATGTTTTATTCCGCCCACAAGCGGTAGTTTTCGTGATGCCGATCGTCTGCATGTTGCCATAGCGTTCAACAACAACAATGTGTGCACCTACACAACCGCTCTGACCACCACTGAACTGTCGGGGGGCGCGACGTGGACACTCGAGGACCTCAAACCTCGTCAAACGATGGAACAGAGGGGTCACCAATCTGACATCCGCCAGCTGACATTTGTTGAAGACGACACCACACTTCTCTCTATGAGCGCAGAGAAGTTGATGATGTGGAATGTTTCCATCAAAGTGCAGCAGGGTGAGACGGAGGTGGGAGAACCGCATGATTTTTACGACGCGAAGGAAGCGAATGTTCAGCACGCCGACGAAACAGGGGTGCTCACATGCACCGGTCACGTCGCCGTTGATGGTGCAGTCACCATGGCTGCCATCTCGTCCAGCTTATGTTGTGTTGGAATTCAGGACGGCTCCATTCTTATGGTTGATCTCCCGGCGTCGAGTGTCGTATTCACCGAACCGGATGTACATGTGGGAGGCGTGCGACACGTGGCACGGCGACCAGACAGCAGTGGTTTTGTGTCTGTTGGATTTGACCGTCGTCTCATTGTATGGACACTTGCACTACTGAAACAATCATCGGATAACAGTCAAAAAAAGAGTAACAATGATAATATTAAGAACAATCACGTTAATAGTAATGCCGCGCCACAGTTGTTGCAGTCGATGGAAATAGAGTTGACTGAGGCTCCCTTGTTTCTAGCCTTAAGCCCCGATAACCGGTTTGTGGCGGTGGGCCTGCAGAACACAAACATTCAGTTGTTCTTTGCTGATACCATGAAACCGTATCTGTCGCTGTTTGGGCACAAACTCCCACCGACGGCCGTGGCATTCTCTTCCGATGGGACACTTGTGGCCTCTGTGGGTATGGACAAATCCCTGCGCTTCTGGGGCACTGATTTTGGTGACTGCCACCGCGCGATTCACGCACATGACGACTACGTAACCCAGGTCGAGTTTTTGCGCGACACACACCAGTTGCTGACGGTCTCATTAGACGGCTCCGTGAAGCACTGGGATGGTGATAACTGGACAATGATTCAATTGTTCCGGCAGCATCAGCGCGGGGTATGGACTGTGGCAGCAACGGCAAATGGCACCTGCATCGCAACCGCAGGGATGGACAAATGTATTCGGTGTTTCTTGCGCACGCAAGATATTGTTTTTCCGGCTGAGGAAGAAGAGCGCATGGCACAGGAAGCAATGGACGAGGAGGCTGCAAAGCGTGTGGCGATGCAAACGCTCGAGCAGCAGAATCCGGAGGTTGCCGTGGCTGGACAGCTGACAACCACCGCGGCTGCGGCTGCAGAGAAAATCATGGAGGCCCTCGATCTTGTGAGTGTAGAGCTACAACGCCGTGAAAATGCGGAGGATCTCACACCACCACACCCGCTTCTTGTAAACAAGACGGTATGGGAGTATCTGTGGTCTGTCATTGAGAGTGTGCGCCCCAGTGAGGTACGACACGCTCTCTCCTCGCTCACAAGCACACATGTCGATGCCTTGCTCAACTATTTGGAGGAGATGCTGCGGGAGCGGGCGGTCCTGAACTATGAGATTGCCGCGAAAATTGTCTTGGCTCTTGTTGCAGCGCCGCCTGGTGTTGCGGCGGTTGGCAACAGGGCACGTGCCGCTATCGCTGGTGAAATTTCGGAGGCGCACGGTGTCCGCCGGCTTCACGCGCTGCGTCGCATGATTGCCGAGGGTCTTGATCATGCTGTAGGGCGCATGGACTACAATATCGCCGGACTGCAGTTCGTGCGGCATGTCATTGAGGAAAAGGAAAAGACCCGCTTCTTTGACCTGAGCAAGATACAAGGACATAGGAAAAAGTATCACAGCCGTGTGATCACGAGTGGTAATGGTAAGAAAAAGGAATAGCGACGGTGGTGAAAACACCATGTAAGAAGTCTTGACCACAAGAGAATGCGGGCGGAGGAAAAGGCGCCGCTGGAGCTGCACAAACAAACACACACAGAGAGAGAGAGAGAGAGGGAGAGAGACAATGAGTCGTTTAAAAACCGAAGGTGAAAAACATGAAATTTTAGAGGGGGAGGAAAGTGTCTGTGTGTGTTTGTTTAAAGCCAGGCATTTTTTTTTTTTACTTTGCTTTCATCTTGAAGCATCGCTATACATCAAAGTACATAAATTAGAAATAAAGAGAAACTGGCGATGGAGTGGGAAGAGGAGGAGAAGGTGGAAATGGAATAAATAAGGATTCATGTAAGGTCTCGGGTATTTTGCCAAAGCGGCAGAGTTGTCTCAATTCGTTTCCTTCATTTTCTTTCTCTGTGAGAAGCGGGGACTGTTGGGAAAAGTATTTGTAGGCACAGAAAGACAAGCCAACGGACAGCAGGCACTGACATTCGTGTGATGGATGGCTGACGTTGAGGAGTCACTGCTGGAACTACGGCGACTTATCGCCAGAGCGCGAAGAGAGGGTGGTGGCGGCACTCATGGCAAGGAGAATGATAACGAGACCCCAAAAGGTTGTCAGATCAGCGTTAAGGAACTGGAGCGGCGGTTCGCTGGGCTGGAAGAAAAACTTTTCCGTGAGAAGGGTCTTCTGAGGGAGCAGGCGCAGGAGCTACACCAGCGCGCTAAGCGACGAAAAAGACAACAAAAAAAAAAAAATATATGTTTAGTTGGGCAAGAGCAATGGGAAGATGGAAGTGTCCCAGTGGGGACCAGTCAGAATGCATCGTACGATAGAATGGATGTGGGAGCCGTGGAAATAGCAGCAACAGACACAATGAGTTGTGAGCTTTCTTCGCATTTCTCAAGCTCACTGAACGGCAGCCCTCCCCTGCAGCAAGAAGTACCGACTCGCGATACACGGCGGCATCATGATGGAAGCCACGTGGAGGAAGCAAAGGAGACCCCGCGTGATGTGTACGGTGCGTCGTGCGCCACAGACCCCGACGCGCACCTTCTTGTCGACATTACGGATGGGTCGACACGAATAGAAGGTATCGGTGTTGGTCCCTGTACAGGTAATAATGAAGAGGTGTTCTGCAGCAGCAGTTGTTCCTGTTTTGCTCCGTATTATTCCTTTGCACATGCCTACGCGGATGATGACCGGCAGCGGCTTCTTTTCATTGTGGATCAATTGTCCAATATATTGAGAGAGGAGCGGCGTCAGAAGGAGATTCTCCTGTCGCATGTTGTGGCACCAATGGTACGGCACATTGAAGTATTGGAGCGGGATCTTGTGCTTCAGCAGCGCGAGATGACAGCACTGAAGCGGGAGTTTGAGTTGCTTGCGAATCCCCGTCATGTTTTCCGGTCAAAAAGTGTCAGGGATGAGGAAAAGATGGGTTTTGATGATATCGGGGAGAAGAGTAACGAGGAAGATCCAGTCCTGATACTCCTGCAGTCCTGTGAGGAGCAACTTCTTCGGCTGACCGAGTATAGAAGAAGGAGGATGTGAAACTGAAGGGGAGGAGTTACTGTTTGCAG